TGCTGACAAATAGAAAAGATATTGACTGTATTCTTGGGAATTGATGACTTTTTCTGAATTCTCAGGGTTGTGCCTGGAGTGTTGGTTTTAGAGTCTGACATGCCCGGGGTCAAAGCCAAGGTTTCTTTTCATTAGCTAAGCTAATAGACCTTGAGCAAATAATCTCTTGGAGCCCTAGTGCTCTCAGCAGTAAAATTAGGTCAGTAATAATAACAGATATGTTATGAGAATCAGTACAGATCAAGCACGGAAGCTTGGGGAAAGTCCTGGTATGGAGAGGCTCTCAGCTGTTGAGCTTTCCTAATCTATGCTGCCCTGATCTTGCCACTGAGATTGTCAAAACAAGTCAGCTCTTGTAATGGGAGATGGTCTTTGATCAGAGAGATGTTGAGTAGGTGCTCTTTAGTGTTGGGAAGGGTTGGGAATGGATTCTAACTTTTTATTAAAGAGTTCTAGAGGACTTGCCAGTGGTGGAATTATTCTCCATGTTCCAATATCAAAAAAGAGTAGCACCCAGAAAGCAATGATCACATCTAAATTTAATAATCCTTTGCCCTCTGGCAACTCAATACAAGGAAAAATGGAATTATGGCAAGGTGAACATCATTGCCCAATCTGAATTCTAGATATGAAAAGAATGGACCCACGTGATATAGGGGAAAATAAAAACCTTAATCTGATAGGAAAAAGATAGTATGCACAAAAAGGTTCGTAGGGACTTGATGCTTAGAATGTCTTTACTTTTATCAAAACATTTCTCCCTGAATGACTCAGGGAGAAATGTTTTGATAAATGGCTCAGGGTCGAGAGTGGGTCATCACCTTTTTCCAGAAGTAGTACTTCCCTCTGTCTTCTGTTCCTGAAGGACTTTGCTCTGTTAGGTGGATCCTTCAGTTAACAAGATAAATTGATCTATGATAATATTAAAAGCTCTCTCAGCAACATATTGATTTAACTCAGTTAGAACTATCCGTAACTCAGAAGGCCACCAAAGAGTGATTCTAATGGGCAGGAGAGTATGTATACTGGTCTGTCTGTATGATACCCCACCTAGGACATTTGGATACCTCTCCACTCATATTCCAGAATGTGGTACTCCCTGCCAAGAAATCTCATTTCCTTTAGGACAGTATAAATGAATAAGCTTCAGTGACTTGCCAGGGTATATATCACAGGTCAATAGCATCATTTAATTATTTTGAGCTCCCTTCTAATTGTGTTTCACATTGTCTGTTCTTTCCTATCACCAAAAGCTATGATGATGCTAAATGCAATCCATTAATATAAATTGCTTTTTCAGATAATGAAACCTATTTTTGGGACAGGCCTTCCAAAGTGGGAAAAGTGGCTTTTTTCCCTAATGGAACTGAGTTTAGAAGAGGCGGGGGCTATGGAACCAGCGCCTTTATAACCCATGAGAGGCTGAAAAGCAGAGATTTTATAAAGGGAAATGAAGTTTATATCCTACTGACGGTGGAAGGTATGTCAATAAAAATAGTTTTATGTAAGCTAATTTGTTGTAGCCATTGATTGTTTACTGTGTTCTTCTGGTTTCCATTTTTATATATATTAGGTAGAGATGTGGGAGCAAATGGGCCTGAGTAGGATTTTTGGGGTATGAATCATTAACAATATGAAAGTAATTTAAATAGAAACAGTAAGGGTTCCTGGATAAAGAATTTAATTACCAGTACATGGAGTAATAGTGGAAAACTTTAAGCCAGAAAACTTCTTTAGAAATAAGTTAAAGTATAGCCATTATACCTTAGAATTATAGTCTAGAATTCCAGAAATAAAAATATCACATATCACGTGAGACCAAACAGAAAATGTATTGTCTTTATTGTCTCTTTCAAATACAAACACACACACACATACGCACGCATACACATACACACATACATCTTGGCAATAATAAAAATCTATTGTCTTTAAAGTTTCTTACCCATGGCAATCAAAAATACATTTTCCAGGAACACTGGTGGTTCCCATGTTTTATGTGGTAGGATTTTAACTCATTTGCTATTAAAGACCCACTTGCATCTCAGTAAATCAGAATTTTGTTTGTGATGAAAAGTGGTACAATTAAAACCCATGAAATTTTGATTTTAGTGTCAATTAGAGTAAAACAAAATGATAGTTCTTAGAAAAATTATTCAGGAAAACTTTTGTCAAGGGAGAAAATATTTTATGTAGCAAGAAAAAGTCACGTATTCATTAACTCTATTTGACCCTGTTTTGATGAGAAGGAATAGAAGACACTGCAAAGAACAGAACACTGGTTGTCAGGCGACCTGGTGTTATGTGCCACCAGGTCGCACAAATATCCATCAACTGCTCCACCAAGCAAGAGACTCACAAGTTTGGGAAAGCCCATCAACTGCCTTGCAATATGTATTTTAGTTTCCTTGTTTTCTCCTTAAAGATTGTGAAAAAACAATAAACGGAGCCCCTTTAAAATGGAGTGGGACCTGCCACGCCAGAGGAACTGCCTCGTGCGTCTTATGCTTCAAACCTTTGGAATTTAAAACAGGGCAAAATAACCTTTGGACTGGGCCTAAAGCAACCTTGTGTCCAAAGAACCGTTTGCAAAGATAAGCAAACAGATATTATGACTACTAAAAACTTTCTTTAGAATAAACATCACTATTGTATATTATCTGCAAAATAGAAAAGCCTTCCCTCTATTGATATAATTTCCCCCCTACCTTTTCTCATAAATACCCCTTGTCTTTGTCTCCTATTCAGAACATTATTTGAGCTGCTACCTGAATCAGTGCTTCCTGAATAGCTGTTCTTTTGATCTCAAATAAATGCTTGTTGCCTCTCAATTTGAAAGGCCTTTTCACTTTAGGTTGACAGTAACAAAGCCTTGGGCCCCTTAGAGTTCAGGCAAGCCCAGGCCCAGGCAAGCTGTGGTTCAGCTGTAGCCCTATAGGCTGGCCCAGCTCCCCTTTGCATCTACATTTGAACCTGACTATTATTTTATTGCCTCTGAATGTTGCTGGACTATGCTTTAAGATTATCTGAATTTCTCACGAACCTGAAACCTGAGCATTTTGAAACTTAAAGATCAAATACTTGCTAAAGCAAAAACTTGCAAAAACTTGCTAAAGCATGATTTCCATCCATGCTCTCCCTTTGTTGTCTTTAGACATATCCCACCTTAATTCTACACAACCGCAGCCAAACCCAACCTCACAACCTCAGCCAAACCCAACTTCACAGCCGCAGCCAAACCCAACCTCTGACACTAACGACCTTTGTACAAACTTCACATGTGAGAATGATGGCATCTGCACTGTTCGAGATGGCAAAGCTGAATGCAGGTAAGGGGTCATTTGGACGAGCTCTTCCCACTCTTCTGTTTGAAATTTTATCTTCCCACAACATGGGGTTAAATACTAATATTTCATCTGAGAGAAATTGGTTAATTCTCCTCAAAAGCATTCATAGGATATTTATTTTTTGCTCTTCACTTGGGATTTCCAATAGCCACAAGAACAATACAATTATTTATGAAAAACGGCACTTTGTATTTTAATTGCCTGAAAAAGACTTCAGGAGTTACGTGTCTTAAGTCCTCACGATAGACTGTTATGGTTAAGTGTAACTGTCCCCATTTTCTAGATGGATATACTTAGGTTCTGGGAAGAGTTTGGCCAAAGTGTATAGCTGGGAGGTAAAGGAACTGGGACACTGAGAAATTTTTTCCATTACTTATGCTACCTTCCTTTCCCATCTTGGAGCTGCTGTTTTAAATACCAGATTAGGAGTCATTCCATCGTTCTTTTCCTTTGACCCGGCCTGGACTCCTGGTGCTAGTCTAACCAACCCCTCTAGTCCAGAATACGTGAAATGTTTCAGATGTCAATAAACTGAATGTAGACCCACACCTTTATGATGAAGGTTTTCAGATTTAAATATCAATTCATAACTCTGAGTTATGTTCTTAATGTGTAGGTGTCCATCAGGGGAAGACTGGTGGTACACAGGAGAGAGGTGTGAGAAGAGAGGCTCGATTCGAGATTCCGTTATCGTTATTGCTTCTTCAACTGTTGCTGTGTTTGTCCTGATGCTGATAGTCACCCTCATCGCTGTCTATTGTACCCGAAAGAGATACCGTTAAAGTTCAAATACAGTAAATATGGCTCCGGAAAATGTAAGTTGAGCCTGATATTTCGTTATTCAAAATCTATTGATGGAAATCATATGAAGAAGAATTAAGACTTTTTAAATATACTTAAAAAAAATTTTTCTCTTCATGCCCTATGATGGGGACAACTGCTTTGAGACGATGAGTTCCTGTTACTTTCACTACAAATCAACAGTCCTTAAATTGGGATCCATGGAGGCTTTTTTGGAGGGAGTTTAATATCTTCCTATAATTGTATCCAAAATTGTGTATGGTTGTACATTTTTTCTGGGTGAGTGTAAGCCTCTTTGGAAAACAAAACTGATTTTGCCTATAAGTTTCAACCTTCCTGGTACAGGGGAGAGGTTACCTGGATATATTTTTGTTCTAAAAGTTTTTGGGTCATGGTGAGCTCAGGCTTGTAGAAAGGGAGCACAGACATATTTGGGACTTTTTCGTTAAAGAAGTTTTCAACTAATCTGGCTTCACATTCAGCAACTAACTCTAAGCCAAGATTTTCAAGTAGAGGGTTTAAAGTTTTGCCTTAGAGGTGTTTACAATGACAATAGACTCTTGAAAATAGCCTGGGAAGCAGTCAGAGATGGACATTGGCATACAGGAGGTTTATTGGGGACTACTCTTGGGAACGCCTGTACTGGAATGAGGAAAGCTGGTCTGGGCAGAGGCGAGGTTGGACTGTGATGTGATTGATTGCAGCGGAGGCCTCAACCCACCCTACTGCAATCTTTGAAGCTAAGATGGCCCCTTAGGCATGTCCCAAAAGGAGGCAAGGAGGTTCTGACCACATCAATAGCCACTGGATGGGGGTTGCTCCCAAGAGGAATGAGAAAATTGAGCAAGTGCAGTTTGTGGAAGGTCATGTCCTGCATGAGAGCCTTCATTTTCAAGGGCAGGACTAAGCAATGGATCCCAACATCCCAATAATATGTACCCCAATAATAGCACAGAGTTTCATATACAGATTCCTGTTCTCACAAAAATAACATAAAGAAAATGGCATAAAATCTAAACATCATTTAAAAGTGAAGTTTAAAATTTTTTCCAGTTCTATTTTATTAAAAATAGTCTCTGAGAATTACTAGTAAAACTAAAGAAAAACATGTGTAATTAAAATATTTCTGAAAATAAAAATATTGCAACTAGCTAAAGCAAGAGTATATTTTCTTAAGAAAAATGATTATTCAAGACATACTGTATTTTAAGGTTATGATTTTTTAAAATTAGACAACCTGATTTTAAGATTCTAAATTTGTTTGCAAAGTTAATCAAAAGACAGTGCATGATAATAAATAGAAAGCAAATAGTCTCATTCTCATATTTGCTTTCGTATTTCTTCAACATGAAGATAGATGTTTAAAGCTAATCGTAAGGTGATGGCTTGTTAGAAAAGTACTTAAAAAGTATACATGTTTCTTTGTTTCTAAACAGCTATTCCAGTTTATTTTATGCCTCAAAATAAAAGGAACAGATCTGACAATACAGGACCCAGTAGGTCGACCTGATGGAAGCTGTGCCTGCAGGCATGGTCCCCTGGGCCAGTCCTGAGGAATTCTGGTGCTGGAGTGGGGAAGATGGAGAAGTGGTCAGGGAGGAGAGAATCAGTTAGTTAGCTGGGTGAATGGATTGCCAGGATGTTCCTCTGGGAAATGGCAAATATAAGTGCTTTTGAAGAGCCAACTTAAGTAAAAACTAAAAGGATTTAAAGAAAATGATAAAACAGGGAGAAAGAAGGATATTAAGTCAAAAAGGAGGAAACTATCAGGGAATCAGGGACATGGTAGGGCCAGTAAGTGGAAACATTCATACACACAGACGCACACACGGACACATGTAAAATCACCATAATATTACAGCAGAACTGTTTTGCCTCTGGGTCATTTAAACATTACCAAAAGCAAGGAATCAACTTACATTCTCCTTAGTCCAAGCATTTCTACAGTCAATTCACTGATGACGGAAACTCTAGCACTAATTTAGATCTTAAATTAGAATGACCTTCTTTCTAAGGCTGAAGCCATGTGCTCACCCTATTGTTTAGCATCTGAATAACATGAGTCCAACAAGCCAGTGCATCTTTCTGGAGACTGGGGCTGGGGCTTTCTGCCAACTGGGAGGGATGGCAGGAGACTGCTGATAGCATTTCATTTAAAAATTAGAACTTTTTATTGTGATTCATTTAAAAGACAATTTTTAAATTTAGAAATTAAGTCATCAATTGTTCTTTCCCTTTTTAGCAGCATGAATTTTGAAGATTAACTCAACAATATGGCCGGCAAATAAAATTAAAAAGGATTCCTCATTAATGGATTTCACCTAAAATATATTATAATCACCTCATTCTTCTATAAATGGATCTTCTCTGTAAATAACTGGATATAGTATAGTAAATCATTATTTTGGTGAAAGTTTAATCGTTGAAATGTTGTTTGTGTTTTTGTTTCTAATAGAGGGGAAGCAAAAAAAAAAGAAGAAGAAAAAAAAGGAAAATAAATAAAGGAGGGGAAGCAAGTCAGGCTCCTCCAGAAGTATAACTTGTCTGTAACAGCAGTGCAACACCTAGAGATAGCTTTTCAAATTACTGATCCTTTATTTGGGGGCCAAGGGTCGTGGCCTCACAAGTGGTTTTCCAGAAACCGCTGGACACGCCCAATGGCCTTGACCCTCCACGTGGAACCTCAGCGTTTCTGTGCTGTCCTATGCCGATGTAGGGAGGGGCAGTAGGACATCTGTTTCCCTCTGGGGACATGTGCCCATCACTCCAAAACTGGCCACTCTCTTCTTTTCCTACATAAATCCTTTGTTATGTGAGCTTGGTTTAGAATTTGTTTGAACAACTACAATCAACAAGAAAACTTTAAACTTCTAGAACGGTGATTCTCAAGTTTTAGGTCTCGGGAGACTTTATACTATTAAAAGAGCTTTTGCTTATGAGCGTGACATTTATCAATACCTTATTAGAAAGTCAAACCAGAAAAAATTTAAAATATCTTTATTAATTATTAAAAATAATAAGCCCATTCATGTGAGCATAAATAATAACATTTTTATTAAAATTATATTTTCCAAACAAAATAAAATTTAGCAAAAGGAGGGATGTTGTTTTACATATTTTTGCAAATTTCTAAAGTCCAGCTTAATAGAATATAGCTGAATTCTCATATATGTGTCTGCATTCATTCTGTTGTGATATATTATTTTAGATGAAGGATGTGAAGAAAACTAATCTCGCCTTTCTTGTTGATTGTAGTTGTAGGTTCAAACCAATTATCTGAATAGATTTTCAGATAATTGTGTATATTCTTTTTGAATACTTTGTTAAAAGTTAGAAATGATAACTTTTTGAAGGTTAGTTGCGACTGGAATCTGAAACCACATCAATGAACTTTTGTTCTCTGTCTAGGAAATTCATTGATCTAGCTTATATTTTGAAAGACTCTTTCAGCTAAGCATGATTTTGTAATATTGTGCGTTGATTATTTGTTAAATATTGGCTTATGGAGTTTTGCGTCTCTTACAACTTTTTGGTACATTTCATTATACAGTATCAAAATATAACATTAGTTACTGTCACCACTGATGTCATAAAAATAAATCTTTAAGTCTTGGGAACTTGACGCTCATGGTGGCACAAACAAATTTTCCAAAATTCTAATTTTTACTTGAAAGCTTAAATATTATCATTGACTATGAGTACTGCCTACCTTGTAATGACAGACTCACTTCATTCAAGTTTTTAAATTCAAAATTTGAGATCATTGTAGATTTACATGCAGTTTTAAGAAATAATACAGAAATATCCTGTGTACCCTTTACTTATCTTCCCTCAACTGTAATATCTTGCAAAATCATAGTGCAATGTCATAATCAGGATATTGCATTGGTATGGAACATTTTCATTACCACAAAAATCCATCAGGTTGCCTTCATATAGATAGCCACATCCATTTCCCTCTTGTTCCTACCTCCTGTTTAACTCTTGACAGCCATTAATCTGTTCTCTGTATAATTTTGTCATTTTAAAGATGTTATATTAATAGAAATATACAGTAGAGAAACTTTGGGGATATTTTTTTTAACTCAGCATAATTCCCCGTAGATTCATCCAGGCCGTTGTATGTACAATAGTTTGTTCTTTTTGATTGCTGAGTAGTATTCCATGGCATGAATAACCACAGCTTATTTAATCATTTACTTGTTTCAGGACATCTGGGTTATTTCCAGTTTTTGACTATCATAGGTAAAGCCGCTATGAACATTCATGTACAGGTTTTTGTATAGACATAAGTCTTCATTTCTCTGGGATACGTGCCCAGGATAGCATTGCTGGGGCATATGGTAGTTGCATGTTTAGGTTTTTAAGAAACTGCCAAACTGATTTGCAGAGTGACTGTACCATTTTGTATTCCCACCAGCGGCGATAATCCAGTTTCTCTGCATCCTTGCCTTCTTTTGGTGTTGTTACTCTTTTGTTTTGTTTTGTTTTTTTAATAGACTCTATTTTTTAGAGTAGTTTTAGATTCTCCTTAAAATTGAGCAGAACTTCGAAAGATTTCCTATGTATCCCCTGCCCCACATATATACGGCCTTTCCCACTATTAACATTGCCACTAGAGTGATAAATTTGTCACAATTGATGAACTTATATTGCCAAGTTATTACCATCCAAGATCATAGATTGTTTACATTAGAATTCACTTTTAGTGCTGTACATTCTAATTTTTTTTGTTTGTTTGTTTGTTTGTTTGTTTGTTTTTATGCTTATAGCACCTTGTCTTCCTAGGTGGTTTCCCATCCAAGTACTAACCAGGCCCGACTCTGCTTAGCTTCCGAGATCAGATGGAATCCGGCGTGTTCAGGGTGGCATGGCCGTAGACTCATTCTGTGGATTTTGACAAATGTATAAGGGCATGTATCCACCAAAACAGTGTCCTACAGAATAGTTTCACTGCCCTAAAAATCCTGTGTCTGCCTTT